ACACCATGTGACCTGTCATTTATTGACGAGACCACTGACTCGCACATTTCTACATCCTTCCTTTACCTTTTTCCTTGGAAATTCATGTTCATCTTCAAACTCCGCCTTAGTCACTCAAATATTAAGCCTGTGTTGATTTCCTCAGCTCAAGAAGCATCAGACTCTTTCATTTGTCCCCCTTCTCACATAATATTTTGGATGTATCCTTACTTAGTAGTTTTAAGATTATTTTTTAATACTTTTTTTTTCTTGAAATGTGAGTTCCTTGAGAACAGGAATCGTGACTTATTCATTCATGCATTTCCTGAGCCTGCTGGAGAGACTAATGCCTATTAAATGATAGATTGGAGTGTTTTTTGCTAAAAATTTTACCATCTCTTTTTTCCTCCTGGGGGTGGATTATACTTTTTTGCCCCACTGACTTTGAGCATGGCTATACAACTTTCTTAGTGGAATGTGAACAGCTATGATGTAAGCAGAGGTTTTATATGTGCATGGATGTCTTGTCTGCTTGTGTTCCTGTGATCCACTAGAACCGTTGGTCCAAGGCAACTGGGCACATAACATAGAGTTGAACCAAATGAAAGGCTTGACCTGAGTTCAGCCAACTTGACGATCTATAAGCAGGAAATAAGTGCTCCTTGCTTTAGGTCATTGGGTTTCAAGGTAGTTTGTTACTCAGTATTATTACAGAAACAGCTTGACTAATACAGGTACTCAAATGTTTGAACCAATACATGGATGGGTAGGTAATACAGTGTTAAATAAGATGATGCTATGATCTGAGTGCTTGTGTCTTCCAAAAATCTTACCCCCAAAGGTGATGGCATTAGGTGGTGGGGCCATTGGAGGTACATAAGTCATGAATGTAGAGACCTAGGAATGGGATTAATGCTTTATACAAGAAACCCCAGAGATTGTTCTCCGCTTCCACCTTTTGAGGATGCAGTAAGAAGGCACTGGCTATGAGCTAGGAAAAATGTCCTTATCAGAAATGACCTTACTGGTGCCTTGATCTTGGACTTGACAGCCTGAGAACTATGAGAAATAAATATTTGTTGTTACCCAATCCATGTTATTTTGTTATAGCAGCCCAGACAGACTAAGACAGATGAGGTAAAAGGATGAGCTTAATCATTATGTATTTATTTTTTGGGAAGTCATGACATTAGGACCTAATCATCACTTATCATCCATGGGACATTTAGGATGGGATTATATGAAGTTATGGTAGCATCATAACCTTTAGTGAAAGATGTTACATTTTAGTTCTACAAGCCTGGGATGGAGGCTGAAGCTTACACATTTTAAAGCTGTAAGATAGCAATTAAATTTCTCACTTGAATATCCATCATGGAAAACATCATCAGAAGGTAAATCTTCTGGGAAGAAAGTTACACGGTGAATTCCTGATCCTAATAGAAATTAATATTGGATTGTAAACTGTTTTGGATTAACCATGCCACTGCTCCCTTTATTACTAGTATGGATAATTAAAACTTAACTGAGCATCATTTTCTTGATCTTTATGGATATTTCTGTACTACTGCTGGTGTGGTTGGTCTATGACTAGTTATTTTTCTTTAGTTAGGGCACTCAGTTAATGAGTTCAGCATTAGAGGATTGAGATTTAAATAGGTTTAGAACTCTGTGATCATAATATAGATGCATGCCGGGAAGACCTAGTGAGAATGTGTGACTGAATAGATGTAACATTTATTTTATCTGCAGAAATTGTGTACCATTTAACACCTCCTAGGAATTAAGTGTTTATGTGAATGAGAGATTCAAATTATATAGAATAAGAGAAATGAAAGATGGAGACCTGAGTCAGCACTTGCTTGTGGGACAGCTCCCGAGTTTTCATGCTTTTGTTCCTGGGTGTGAGTCCAGCAGGAGAAAATTAGGTTTGACCAGCCACCCTTGGAGAATTCATGATTTAGGGAGGTGACTTATAAGTCACAAACTGTCCTGCATTGTGTTTCTTGCCTCAAAGGCTCCCGGGTTTTTGAACTCAGCAGGGGTGAGTTCTTAGATTTTTGAACTTAGGGTTAGAAATTGAAGTTGCTTTCTTGAATATTAATCTTTGAAATGAGAAAAATGTCACAAGTTGTTGGTTTGATTTGGATGAATAGGGTCATGTTTGTCTTTGGAGGAGAGGAAATTACATGCTTGAAGGTGTAAATTTGTTCTCTCTGTTCTTAGCTTGTTGGGCCATTGTGACATTTAGGGATTGTGCTACTATATCATTTGACCTAGTCATCTCCTTTACTCAATACAAGGATACTGCATCTTCTCTAGAGCTAGCCTGCTGTTAATTTAGGGCACAAAAAGATGTCACATGCTAGCTACTACTGTGATATTTTCTCTGTAGTAGTTGCTTCTGTGACACTTTCTTCTCTTCCCACCTACCACATTTCCCCCATAACCTTCAGAAAGTTTTGGCTCTTTAGTCACTGGAGATGCCATTAGAAACTTCAAGAAAATGTTGAAATCTGGAGAAGGTGGTGCATGTGGTAGAATAGGATTTCTTCCATTTGAGAGCTTGATACTACCCCAAATATACTCCCCCAAAGCATCACCGCCACAGAGTGTTTAAATTTCCACTCCTTAACAGTTTTAGAATATGAACATCCTTGTAAATGTTAGACAGAGCTCATTTCACATATGACTTGGTAATTATCTAAAACATTGGCTGTAATGCAGAGAAGATAATTATGTGTCAGCACAACTGGATTCTGTAATGTGTCTCTGAAAGAAACTCTGTTCCTCAACTGCTTTCCGGGGTTACTGGAAGTCGGGGTAGACCTGATACTTGGAATAGTTGATAACAAAATGATGCCTATAGGGCATAATACAACAAACATGTTCAAATGACGAGTTACAGAGGCGGAGGATGGAGAGAGAGGCTCCTGGACAAAAGTTAACCCTCCATCTTTGGGAAATTGGATAGGGGAAGAATATAGAAACCCACGTTGGTGGAAGAAGGAGTTAGACTCCTGCATCTCATTACAGAAATTATTTGATTCTTTTCTTTTTGCATCCTCTTGGGGGTTGGATACCATTCTCCTAGCATATGCAGACCATCAAAAGGGAGTAAACAGCTTTTTCACTGGCTCAGTGTCTTTATAATAAGAGATCTGAAGAAATGGACTAAAACAAATACCTATGCAATTGTTATTAATGCATGAGGACCATCACTTTCATTTTAAGTCTTTCATTTTTTTAAAGATTTTATTGGGGAATTGGAGGAGGGAACAGCATTGGTGAATCAGGGAAGGGGAACAGACAAGTTGTTGTCCTTTTGTTCTTCAGTCTAGTTGTGGAGGATGTCGCTTCACTGGCCCAAGTTGGTATTATCATTGCGCTCTTCCCGGCTGAGGTAGATTGGTCACCGGCCCTTGGACGGCCGCTTACGGAGACTCATGGCATCTCACGCCGTTGCCGGCAACTCACGGCAGCCCAGTTCCAGGTCGAGCTGTTGTTCACCATCTTAGCTGTAGAGGGTGCAGCGTCACTGGCCCATGTGGGACCCAAACCAGCGGCCCTGCTGCTCAGAGCTCGCGCTTCCAAGCCAACTCTTAACCAACATGCCACTTGACTGGCTCAAGTCTTTCATTGTTCATTTCATCATAAGTTATGACTTGTTAACAGAAGTTAGCACTTTGAGTCTGCTTACACTAATAATTGTTCTGTTGCTAAATGTGGTCTCCCTTGCCTTATCTTCCTTCCACCTTCCAGTTTCATAAATTTGAGACTCACTCCTGACTAGTTGAAGGAAGAGATGGACTGTTTCCTTTTGAGCCTGAATGATGGTAGTGATGTTAATGCTGTCATTACCTTTGAATTACCATGTTGATGTAGAACTCTTTCATCCAAGATGGTATTTCTATCCTGTAGGTGGGTAGATGCTTATTATACCTGTTCACATACTTGATAGTTAACAGCATGGACTCTGAACCAGACTCCTTGAGTTTGAATTCTGCTTCTGACCCTTACATGACCTTGGGTAAGTTAATTCATTTCTGTGCATTAATTGTTGCATCTGTAATAAGGATGATCATAGAGTCCAGTCATCGGGTTGTTTTGAAGAATAAACAAGTGAATATTAATAAAGTGTCTGACACATCTGCTGTGTGTTAGTGATGATGATGAGCTACACAATCTGATAATAATGTCGGGTGTGTGTGCTTGATGATGGAAGAGAGGCTGTGACCATGAACTACCACCATTAGAGCTGTTAGTTACCCTTCAACTTCTTTTTGGTGTGAGGTTGGAGAGTTGCACTTATTCCTGAAGGCAAAGGAATGCATGAAATGTGCTCACGTGGACCTTTGGACTTAATAGTAGAGACAAAGTTCTGCATCAAATGTTATTTTTTAGTACTGTCTTTTCAATCAAGGGATGTATTTTACTTAAATCGATTTTAAGTTACGATGTCTCCCCTTAATTTATGCCTGTCTTCTTGCCATCTTTTCCTTTCTCTCAAGGCAGTTTCTAATACAGATGTAACCCCTCAGTGTTAGGTCTGTAGGTTTCCTCAAAGCATCACTGTAGAGGGTGCTTGGAGATTGGGATGCTGAAATTTCCAGTGTGATTGAAAATTGAGAGAAGACAAGAAGACTCAGGTTTTGGGGCACAATTATTAATAGACTAATTAGTACTTGGGGAAAACATTTGGGGACCTTCAGAAGGAGCTAAAGAAATGTGTTATCTGGTGGACAGGGTTTTAGAAATTTGTCATGCCGGTCTCCAGTAGAAATTTCAGCCTTCCAAGTACAGACAGATGGGCAGGTTGGTTTGGTACCTTGTTCCGCCTTCATCTGAATCCATATCTTTACTTCGCCTGTCCTGGAATCTCCTACCTTTTCTAATGTGTCGTCTGGAGCCACCACTCCTTTGAGAACACATTTCTTTTTTCTTTCTTTCTCTCATTTTTTTTTTCAATCCAAAATATGTTTACTGGGATGGCCCCTTACTCATCTTGACTCAGGGTGCTTTTAGTGCTGCTTCGTTCTGAAGGAGCATCCTACTATAAGCCTTGCTCCTCCTCCTCTGTGCTGACAGAGGACAGTGGAGCAGCCATTACACAAAACTACCATTCGTGCATGGCTAATGATGGTGGCGATTGGCATCCCTGGCACTTCCATGAAGTAGGAATTGGGACTCTGTTCCAGGTGCTGCTTCTTGTGTTTCCTCCTCTCCTTTTCTGGAGAGGGATGAAGCAGCTCCTTAGTGAGAGTCATGTTCTAGTGGGGAGGGCATCACCTCTGGAAAAGAGAGCTTTTCTTTATATCACAAACTTTGTTCTTAAATTTTTTCTCCTTTTTTTCTGCACTATCAAAAAACCAGTCTCTATTTGCACACCCATGTTCATGGCAGCATTATTCACAATAGCCAAGAGGGGGAAGCAACATGAATGGATAAAGAAAAGGTGGTATATACAATGGAATACTATATAGCCCTAAAAAAGGAAATTCTATCACAGGCTACAATATGGGTGAATCTTGAAGACAGTATAATAATTGAAACCAGTCACAAAAGAAGAAATACTTTATGATTCCACTTGTGTGAAGTATCTAAAGTAGCCAAAATTACAGAATCAGAAAGTAGAAGGACAGTTGCCAAGGGTGGGCAGGGGAGGGAAGGGAGCAGTTAATATTCAATAGGTATAGAGTTTCAATTTTGCAAGATGAAGAAGTTTTGGAAATCTGTTGCACAGCAATGTAAATATACCTACTACTACTGAATTGTGCACATAAAAATGGTTAAGATGGTAAGTCTAGTGTCATGTATTTTTTTAGTATTAAAAAGGAACTTAAAAAACAAAAACAAGCACAAAAATGGTGTCTCCCCTGATGATACTATAACCCTTGAATTTGCCTGCTGTATGTGGCTGAGTTGGACCAATCCTTGTTTATAACATGCTTCTGGGCCTTCACTCTTCTCTCTTGAATCTCATGTCATTTAATCACGTTACCTCTTTCCAACCTCATTGATGTCACTGGGACGCTCATCTTTCTGTCCCCATGACTTCAGTGGCTGCCTCAGTCTTCCTTTCCCACAAACTGACTTCAGCCAGTTTTGGGGTTATTTCAACTCTACTAAAATAAACATTTACCATTTTTGAAAAAGGGTAAATAAAAGGAAGAAAAAAATTTAAAATGTATTTACAGTTCAGACATAACCCATTAGCATATGTATATACATATGTACATACATCTTACACTCATCTCCTGCCTTGTAAATACTATCTTTTTATTTAACAACATATCAGGACTATCTTCCCATATGGCTAACTTTACTGCTGTGTCAGGTTTGGCCTTCTCAATTCCAGTGGGATTGTTCTACCTCAGTTTGGCCACATTTTTGACCTCCTCCACATTAGATCATAGTCGGTCTTTTCTTCAATCGTAACCTTCAGTTTTTTACCCTTTGTCTCATCTCACTCTTGCATGTTCTGCTTAATCTGATTCAAGAGAAAGAGGGCTGGACTTGCTGGCTGATCAGGGTACCCTTGGGCAACAAGGTCTCAGAGGCAGCCTTGGGATACAGGTGTGGTTCCCCACTCTGCATTTCCAGACATGCTTTTAGCTCAAACCCTGGTAATGTGTCTGGTGGTTATGCACATAGACTGGATCAGATACCTGAGACTGAGTTCTAGCTTTTCCACTAACCAGGCACTTCAGTGTCCTCATCTGCTCTTCCTGTGGTTGCTGTTCGTGACACACACATTAATACCCAGAAAGTGCTTGAAACAGGGCCCAGCATATAACAACCACTTCAAAAGTGTTAGGCTATTGTTTTTGTTTAAAGAGAGATTTAGAATTATGATTTCTGAACACCGTTCAAATGTGTATGTTTCATGCTCACTGACATCATCTTAGTGTAGATGCCTTGTCCTCACAACAGTCTCATAACTACTCCTGTCTGCACAGTTTTATGCCTCTGATTCATTCTTTACACTGTGGCCAGAGTGAGTTTTCTAAAATACAAAATAATTAGGAGCCTCCTCTGACTGAGACCCTTCAGTGGACTCTGACTGGACCATCCTTGTCCTCTTCCTCCCAGGTCCTGTGAATGGCTAACCCCCACCCATCTTCAAGATGCAGGAAGCTGTCACTCCTCCAGAGGGTCCCCCAGCACCTCTCTCTTGCCCGCCAAGCCTGGGTTAAGTGCCCGCTCCCTCAGCCACAGAAGATAGTGCCTTGTACTGTGATATCCTCCTCCGTTTTCCCCATTAATCTGCAAATGTCTTGAGGGCAGAAGACAGTTGTCCTCCATCCTCAGTATCTGGTGGAGCAGCTGGACCATGACCACTGATATGAAGCAGTTTCATTTCTGAGAATCCATTTTCTTCCCAATGGCTAGCCTCTGTTGTCACTCACATGTTGACTTTTGAGCGTTTCAGTCCAAGGGTGGACCCCTAGTTCCACATTCCAGTAGCCAGTTATCATCTGGAGCTATCCACTGAGTCGTCCCATAAGCATCTTCTAAAATTCAATATGCACAAAACAGAACACCATGTTTATGTCCCTCCTCGCACCAACTTCTTCTGTATTTCCTCCATAGTCACAGAAGTCACAGTGTGGACGTCATCTTAATCTCCTACCTTTTTTTCACTCTGTAGACCCAGATAGTCACCAAATCCTACCAGTTTCTCCTCCTGCATATTTTCTTGAATTCATCCCCTTCCTTTGTCTCCATGATGTCTGCTCTCATAACTTCCTTTCTGCTCTACTGCCACAGCCTCTTAACTGCCACCTGCTTCTGTCTTTTCCCTTTTAAATTTATCCTCTGCTCGGGTACCAGAGTGACCTATCCAGAGCATAAATCTCAGCATATAGCTCCCCTGCTAAAACCCCTTCGGCTGCTCCCCTGTGTGGAATAAAATCTATGTTCCTTGGCACGGGATACAAGGCCTTCTCTGCCCTGGCCCTAGTTCTTCGTCTCTCTTACTTCATGTCATTTCACTCCTGGCCTCACATGCTCACTCTTGTAGTACAGAGCTGCTTGCTTTTATCCCTTCCCCTTAGGTTTCTTGCTTCTGCACTTTCGCTCCTGTGATTTCCTCTGCCCTATACCTTTTTTTTTTTACTTGACAAGAAAGGATCTTATACCTTCTTCAAGATATAACTTAACTCATCATGTATATTCTTCCCCAGGAAGGAGCTGCTTATTTCT